GCCCGCCGGGGGGGCGCGGCAGAGGGGCCGCCCAGCAGAAGGGACGGACGACGGCGGCGACGACGACGACGACGACGACGTGGTCTCCGTGGAGGACTGAGCTGCCATCCGAACGTCCGGGTCCCCTCCCGGGGCGCGAAGATCATCGCGCTTCCCGCATTTCGACGTGGATTGGCGAGGCGCCCTTCTCCAGGGCGGCGGCGCGAGGGCGAACTAGTTCTTGAGAAGGCCTCCAGGGCCCGGGACCCGTTTCCGTCAGGACCCGCTTCCTTCATGCCAAGTCGAGGGTCCAGGTTTTTGCGCGTTTTCCATCCTTTTTCGGGCCTCCCCCCATGGCGGCCGCCACAGTTCCGCCCAGGACTCACCCCAGGAAGGGTCCTAGGGTAGATTTGCCCACGGGTGCGTACAACGACGACGACGACGACGACGACGACGACGACGACGACGACGACGACGGCGACGGCGACGGCGACGGCGACGGCGACGGCGACGGCGACGGCGACGGCGACGGCGGCGACGACGACGACGACGACGACGACGACGACGACGACGGCGAAAACTACGGCGAAGCTGGCGTCGGCGACGGCGTCCACCTGTTGCAGGCTCTGGGACGTTTATGGAGGTGCCCGTCGCTACGGCTGGACGCGGCTCGGAAGACCAGTCAGGATGGACCCTTGTGGGCCGATGTTGAGCGAGTTCTGGGCAGACGACCGAAACGTTGATCTCCTCCTCCCCCCTCGTTCCCATCCTCCTCCTAATCCTCCTCCTCCTCCTCCTCCTCCTCCTCCTCCTCCTCCTCCTGCTCCTCCCACCTCTTCCCTCCCCCTCTCCCCCTGTGTGCGCGGAGGGTGTGGAGGGGTGGAGGGGGAGGAGGAACACGATGAGGATACGGAGGGGAAGGAGAAAGTCGTGAACGGGGAGGAACAGGAGCAGGGGAAGCAGGGATTGCAGTCAGTTCACGTGGCCGTTGACCCCCCGCCACCAGCGCGATGCCGCACCCCCCGCAGGGTTACAGCCCCACGACGTCCAGAGGCCCACCTCCCGCCCTCCCGCACCCCAGGAAGGCGGACGCCGACCTGTTCAAATGCAAGGGGGGGTTCGGGTGCCCCTTGCCGGCAAGCTCGCCCGGTCCCCGCCCACGCTCGACTCGCCGCGAGCGGCGGAGGAGGGAGAGGCCCCAAGACTTGCCACCGTGGCATCGCTCGGACGCGTGCTTCTTTTTTTTTCCTCGGCGAGGACCCTCGGGGAGCATCCTGGATCGTCCTGCGAAACATGAGCGCGCAGAACCGACACATGCACGGGAATGGACGTCCGAGCGATGGCGAGCCACCGCCACGCTGATTACGGCTGCGGCCTCGGCGACGAGCGCCTCCAGCTGGATCCAGCTGCTCCGTCCGCACGGAGGCTCTCGGTGGCCGTGGAGGGCTTCGAGGCGGGGTCCCGCGGCGGACCACCGCCCCCTTCCAGGACTCCGCCAGGCCGAACTCGTACAAATGTAGCTCTGCCGGTGGCCTCGTCGCGCACCAGCTCGAGGTGTATCTGCTCGCCGGCCAGGGTCTTTCCCAGTCCCTCGCTGCCGTTGAGGTGCACGAGCACGTGCGGCCCTTCGCCCGACGGCGTGAACCAACCGTGCCTTTGCTTCGCGTAGTACTTGATAAGCGTTTCCTTGCGCGCGACCTGATTCTGCTCCTCTGGGAAGTAGGATGGCCCCCCATGGGCCACCTTCTCCTTCAGCACTGCCTTCTTCTTGAACCCCTAGTGCTTCGCCATCTTCGTGTGTGGCGAAAATGGGGAGGAGGAGGAGGAGGAGGAGGAGGAGGAGGAGGAGGAGGAGGACAGTACGAAAGAGGCATGATATAGAGCAGATGTAGAGGGCACACGATAAGGAAGGAGAAGGAGCAGGATGAGGAGGGAGAGCAGAGTTTGGATAACCAACATGAGTTGAACCACGAGGAGGATCAGCAAGGGTGGATGAGACGGCAGTGTAGGATGAGGGGGAAAACGACGACGAGAACGACGCCGACGAGAAAAAAGGGGAGGAGAAGAGGAGGAGGGGGGGCACTCTACGGGGAGGGTGCGATGAGGGGGATTTGGCATGATCAAAATGTGGCGGCGACAATTTAACGCATGTGGAGGAACAGCTATACATCTTCTTACCAGGTTTGGGGGGACACCGCCCAGGAGAGATCAGGTCTCCTCGGGATGCTGGGGCTTTTCGGTGCAGCCGAACCTCTCGAGAGCTTTCGGGGTCGCCGCGCCACACGGCGCAGTCGACGTGCAAGCGGAACGACCCCCGCAGCAGCAGACGCGAGAGGTGAGGCCGGAAGCGTGCGACGCGGCGGGGGAGGGGGTCAGGCAGCCGCAGGCTCCGGCTCGAGCGAGCCCAGCAGCAGAGGCACAAAGAGAAACTTTGCGGCTCAAGCGAGTTCGCAGCGACAGCCAGCCAAGCGAGGACCACTGCGTGGCTTCGGAAAGGCCTCAAACGAAGCCACACGATGGGGACCACCTGGTGACCCCACACTCTGCGATGCAGGGTCTGGGAGGAGGCCTCCCGAGAAGTGGGTGGTATTCCGTGGGGTTTTCTCCCGGGAGGCTGGCCTTCCCTAAGTGGGTACGATTTTGGGTTCGGGGGGAGGCCAGCCTTCCTTCCCCACCCGGGAGAGGACCTACTGAAGCCAACGAAAAATAGCCATCCATCCGTTTTTATCCATCTTGGGCACAAGACATACGAACAGCTAATGAGGAGGATTGGGGGCGGGGAGTGCAGGACACCGAAACTCGAAACTGGTTTCCCGGTCGGGGACACGAAGAGTCCAAACCCCGTATGCGACTTCAAAGTGGATGGCAAAGCTTGAGGTCGATAAAAGTTTATCCCATTTGATACAGTAACCACCCGCGGTGCATCTTTGGGGGCGCGACGCTGCTATTTGCCCTCGGTGCTAATACATGGTTGCTCATTCCCTGCGCAGGGACTCAAGTCTGCGCCGTCCCATTGCTGTTTCTTCCGCCGCTCTCCACGGCGCCGGCGCTATTGGGGGCTAGCCAGGAATAGGGGGCCAGAGGTCGGTCACAGCTTGTGCCTGCTACCCGTTTTTACACGTGTGCCCGTTGTGATGGCATGTGTGCCATGGCGTGCTTGCCCACGCCATGCTGGGCGTCTGGTTTTGCCTTTTGGGCCCGAAGCCGATGGTGATGGTGATGATGATGACGATGATGATGATGCTGATGATGCTAATGATATTGATGCTGATGCTGCTGCTGATGCTGCTGCTGCTGCTGATGATGATGATGATGATGATGATGATGATGATGATGATGATGATGACGACGTGCTTGGACGTGCTTGCCCACGCCATGCTGGGCGTTTGGTTTTGCCTTCTGGGCCCAAAGGCCTCCATCCCTCCCTTCACCAGTCGCGTACCCCTGCTAAAAGGCGGCCAGGCCTGGGGCTGCTCCCGGTCCTCGTCTTCCTCGTCCTCCTCCTCCTCCTCCTCGTCCTCCTCCTCCTTCTCCTCCTCTTCCTCCCCTCTTCCTCCTCCCACCTTTTCATTCCCCGCGGTCGGCATCTTGTTTCTCCTCCTCCTCTTCCTCCTCCTTTTCCTTCTCCTCCTCCTCCTCCGCTTTCTCCTCCTCCTCCTCCTCCTCCTCCTCCTCCTCCTCCTCCTTCCTCCTTCCTCCTTCATCGGCCTCGTAATCCAAAAATCCAGCAGCCTCGGCGGCGGGTCGCACGGGGCCACGGGGAGCTGCGGCGCAGAGGCCGCGCTCCGCGCACGGGCTCAGGCGCCGAAGCGGGCGCCGAGGTGAGCCTCTGAGTGCCCCCGCCGCCGGCCGGTGGTGGCAGCTATTGGAAAGCCTCGGTGGTGAAGGGGCTGCGGTCCGCACACAGACGGGGGTCCGTCAGAGCACCGGACCCTGCAGGAGCCTGCGGGGCCAGGGGCGCATTGACCGGGGCGTGGGCGCAGGATCCCGCAGGATCCTGCAGGATCTTGCAGGATCATGCAAGTCTTGATTGGCCCGTGTTTGGATTGACCCAGGTCAGTGGATCCCCGAAAGCCGCCATTAGAGTAACGGCTGCGAGCAGAAGCTCGTGACCGTGCCCTCCTTGTCCACGCCCGGTCTTTGGGCCGAAGCTGGCTCAAAAAAGGGCGACCGCCTAACGACCTCGCACTAGTTTGGGCATGTTTTGCTTCATCCGTTGTACTTGCGCCTTCCATGCCTTGGGAAAGAAAGGCTCAGCCCCCCAGTTTAGGGGTCCCAAACCGGACGGGGCTATAGGACGCGGATCAATCGTTCCAGAGTCTTCCAGAACGCTCTCAGAGCGTTCCGGGGAACGCTCTCAGAAGACCGCGGCGCCCGAGGCATCTTCCAGAGCCGCCGGATCCAAGAGATTCTCGATTTTATCCGCACCCGATCTTCTCCTCGTCCTGGCCTCGTCCTACCACAACCATGTGGTGACAGTCCCGGCAGTGACTTCGAAATCCGCAAAGACCTCCCTCACCGCAGGGTCCGCCACCACACGGTCTTGGGACCTCGGAGGCCCCAGCGTGCGGTGACCCCGAATCCCCACCGATTCACCACACGGTGTGGCCACCGCCCCGTCTGGGTGGCGGTGGCCCCGACAGCTGCCACCACCGCACCAGGCCACCCTCCCACAAGGGTGCGTTCCAGCAGCTGCGCCTCGCCGAGAGCTCTCCCGGGGTGCGGGGAAGGCCCCAGGCGGCCGCCGGAGAGTGGAGAGCCGCGTGGCCCGAGGACTCATCGGCCACGTGCAGGCGGGGGGTAATATGGGGATGGGGGGAGGGTTTCTTTTAGGTGCACCCCTCCCTCTCAGGAGGCGCAGGCCACATCGAAGGGTGTAGAACCAGCGCCTCCTGAGAAGCAGCCTCCTTCCAAGAGGCCTTCCCGCCTCCCCCACACCCCCTTGCGCGCGCCGCCAAATAGGGTTAAGTCGGCACGTCCCCCTACAAGAGGAATAGTCACGAACGTGAAAAATAGTCTGG